AGTAAAAAAATGTGGGCGATTGGCAGAGTGGGTTTTAGATTTTATTTTTTGGGATGATCCGGTTTAGTTTGATTTTCCGGTACGATTAAAGTGCATTTGGTTATTTATGGTGCAGAAAGGAGCTGGAGTTTTTCTCTCCGCGATGATTTGATTGTTCCCTTTTTTATTTTTTTTATTTTTTTTCTTTTGTGGACCGCCGTATTTCCCCTTTCCCTAGATTTGATTCTTAGGGTGGGTCTTTTTTATTTTTGTGGAATAATCTATTTTTGCTGCATATGAATGTTTGGTTTGCAATCTGTATAGGTATATGCATTAGCTTCATAAAACCTCGAAATGTGTTGCTTCTTTTTTATGCTGCCTGGTTCCAGAATATGCAGAAACGTGAAAGCTTTGCATGATTTTGAGTTCTTGTCCTTGTTACTTTAGTTTAGAAGACAATGGCTTGAGTACTTAAAGAAATGTTGATGCTTGTAAATCGAGATGTTCAAGATTGTGCGTGCGGCGGGCAAATCTATTACACGATCTTGTTAACATTTCATACTTTGTCTTTTGGTTTGTGATGCTTGTTTTTTGTTATGAGCAGGTCAAGCAAGACTGTAAAAGTTTGCAAGGGACTATGTTTTGAAGATGACAAGACCGTGGGTGCTTGTGTTTGTTCTTGTGCTTATTATTCTGACTTCGCAGTTTGAGTTGAAGCAACAAATTGGCGGTGAAGTGGAGACTAATCTGATTCTTCCTCACGAAGAACGAAATATACCACAAGGCAAAGAATCTGTTAAAGAAAAGGTTTGTTTCTTTTTGTTACTCTTGATTGATGTAGAACCAATGCTGTCTTGAAGATGTAGATGGGTTTAAAAAAGGTTTAAACTGATGCCTAACTCTTTCAATGATTTCTTCAGAATCCTGCTACCGCCTATCACGTGCCCATTGGTGAAATTATCGCAAATTTTCAATTAGTCTTCATTAACTGCTCAGTTTCTTCCTATGAAACTTGTTATCAGGAACTTAATCCTTTATCTGCTTTGTGAAACCACATTATATCGTTCCTAGAACCATATGATAATCTCGTTACAATCAATTTCTGGCAGACAATTCTCTCCCAAGAACAGAGTATTCAGAAGCTTAACAAGCTGATCCGAAGTCTTAGGGCACGATTGCTACAGTGCAGAAGTGGAAATCATTCTGTGTTACCAGAACATGCAGACGAGCTTGATCAGCTGCCTTTCCGGGGTGACTGAACCATTTCCAGGTACAATTTTTACACCGAAGACCATTTTATTTCTACACCTAGCTGTTTTTCTTTTCGAAAAGAAAAACTTCACGTAAAGTGATATCGTACATAATCCATTGGGGAATCATGAAATGACCTGTTAATCCAAGGCCATTTTGTGGATGCTTTAGGATTTTAGAGTCTTGTTACTATAAGCCATGTCCTTTAACTTAGTTCTTACTCAGGCCATGATTAGCCTGAAGTGAACTTTTCCTATGAATTTTGCATGGTAATTGGATGATCATGAGCTATGAAACATCTTTCTCTCGAGTAGTTTCTACACCTCCTTTATGTATCTCATGCCTTTCTTTTAGGATTTTAGGAACTTGATGTTGCTTTTCATACTTCAAAAGAACTGATGTAGGAGGAGGTAGTTGAGAAATTTTATAGGGTTTATCAGAAAAATGATGAAGCCGAGTACGAGTTTGCTAGAAGCTCAAGATTTCTCAGTATGTGGAATTTTAATGCATAAAAGAAGATATGGATTTAACGACGTTTTCAATTGCAGTTGTTACCAGCTCGGAATTATCATCATCATCTAAACATTGTTCTTCTTGTTCTTGAGTGATCATTATGATTCATCTCTCTCCTGTTATATCGATCTTTAACTCGGATCACTGACAACCCGTCATCCGGCTTGATTATCTCAATAAGCTGTTATGGTGGAAACGAGAAAAGCGTCTCATATCCTCTTAAACTGGTGTGTAGGAGCAATCTTTGATGGTTGGAAAGACACCAACTCCCAACTCTTAGCTTCCATTATTTGAAGGTCTTTACTTACATGTTCTCTGGTGTTTTGTCTGGAAATCTTCTGATGATGAACTCACAGTTAAAACATTCTCTTCTTGTCACATTATCCAGATTGCCATACCGATGAACTTGTCATGTTGTCTCTGATTTGCAGGTCTAATCCTTGCCCAACACTATTGACTCTTCATGTGCAGAGAGAATGATGTTAAGTCTGGAATCGAGATTCTACTGTCTGATCGGCCTTAAGGCCGAGAGTTTCGATTTGGAGAAAGTGTTGGCTACATCAAACCATAAATTATCGGTCTCGCCCCACTTTGCTGATGAACCCTTTCTCTCTCTCTCTCTCGAGATCCCGAAAGCGAGTGACTTTGTACTGGACAGGAGGAATCAAAAGAGAAGGTGGTCCTCGTCAAGTACAGCAAAACATTGGGATATGAAGGAAATGAATGTTGAGTGTGTGATAATATGTGGTTGGGGACTTTAAATGTTAAGGGGGAGAAGAGATTGTACTGCTTTGGAGTCCAAGTGACTATGTCCTGTTTGTGGTTTTCCTTTCCAACATAACATAAAAGACATTTACGGTCGTGAGGCAGAAATTGGTCACAAATGCACTCTTCTTCATTCCCAACACTCTCCTCCTTCATTATATATACATCAAACATGCATATATGTGTATGTATACGTGTGTGTGTTTTTATGGTTATGTATGTGTATATATGATTTTATTTTAATTTAATTTTGTAAATTTTGTCTCCAGTTATTGGTGGCGCCATATAGGGTTTATTTTTTCAACAAGTTGCCCCTTCCACAAGGTATCCCACTTTAAAAACAATTCTGCATATCTTTGATGGTAACTTGTGAGTGCATATTTATTGGAATTATTTTCCTCGTTTTCTCACTCTCGTATCGTTAAAATCAAGTTTTTTTTTATTATTATATAGAGGGATGTATTAAAATTAAACTTAATCTTTTGGTTAAGTTTATTTAGATCAAATTAATTTTAGTTGAAAATTTGATTTTAGATCATTGATCTAATAAATTGGATAATAAGAATTAGTTTATGTTTTTAATTTCTATGTTTTAATAAATATATTTATGAATAAAAATCTGAATATTATATTATTATTAAATCATAGATATTAAAATATTCTCTTGAACAATTTGTCTATAGGATTATAATCAAGTAACACATATGAAATAAAAAGGAGTCTTCTATTAATTATTCTTTCGGATTCCTTTTATGGTTACACTACGCGGCCTAAGATAAGTTTCAAACATTATGAATTTTTTCCCTTGTAACTTCAAATAAAGACACGCAATTTTTTCTCACTTGGTGATTTCTTGTTGAAATTTGTTTCATTATGAATCTCTCTCTCTCTCTCTCTCTCTCTCTCTCTCTCTCTCTCCACATCGTATCTTTTGACTTCTATATATTTTGTACAAATGGTTCGGGTTATTATACCACATGGATTCGATCCGCTTATATCGTTTCAATCTTTATGATCCTTGTTGACCGATACATATATGCATATATGTATGTGTATTATATATATACACACACACACGCTAGGTCAAAGAAATAACGGAATGTTACATCGGTCCAATATATACAGCATCCGGCGCAATTTAATATAATTAATCTTAGGAAATTCAATACAATACAACCCCAAAAATCCGAATACAATGCAATTTCATTTTCTTATTGAGAAATTACTATATTAAATATGTATCCTACATTTCTTTCACATTGAAACTAGCTGTATGTGGACTGTGATTCTAGTAAAAACTATATATATATAAAAAAGACATTTATGAATTAAAAAGTAAAAGTAAAAATGCATTAAAATTGATTTAATACCATTTTTTAGCACACAAAAAAAAAGATTTAATTTTCTTTTTTGGGGGGTTTAGGTGGGTCTCATAAAAGCCCCATCATAATGCTCATTTACTGAAAGCACCTCAACATTTATTACAATTAACCAGATACACCCCCAATCTCCTCTTTAGTCCTTTTGTTATTTTTCTCACATTAATTAAACAACTAAATCTATTTAATTTCTTCTCCAAGTAGTACACGGAACTTACGTGTCCTAATCCTCTCTTTTATTTTATTTTTTAATATTCCTTTTCTTTTTTTCCAATGTGAATTTAATAAATATATGCAGGTAAAAAATATCGGCATACAAAATGAGAAGGAACATCATCACTTCACGGTTGTCTTTGTCTGTCCAAAAATGAAAATTATTGTTTATTTAAAAAAATTTGCACTATAGTGATAGTACGAGTAAAAAAAATGATAGTTATATAAAATAATAATAAAAAAATAAGGATTACAAGTTTGTAATATTTCATGTAGAATTTGAATTATCTTTGTATGCATCTACGACGTTATTTATTTATAGCTAGATATTGGTTAATAGTTTAATGATTTTATTTGTCTAATGTAAGATTGATTAATAGTGGAACGATCCATCAGATTTTAATGATGAGTGGAAAACAATACTTCCTTTGATTTATAGTAAATATATATTTTTTTAAATAAATAATGTATATTTCGTGTATTATGAATTTATTTTTTTTGGATTTATAGAAAACTTAATTTCCTTAGCAGAAAAGGTAACATGTTAAAGAAAGATGCTTTACAAAATTTTTATATATATATATATTACTCTACATGTGAAAGCTTCGAACATCCTGAATCATATGGGGAAAATAACAAAGAAAGGTTCTAGAAACTTCCATTTCTATGAATTCTTCAAGATAATGGAAAAAAAAGCAAAAGGAAATGTAACTGAAAATTAAAAGAAAAGAAAATGGGACCAAACCAAACAAAACAAAGATTAGATTCGCTGTCCTAAAAAATTAGAAAAGGTAACATAGATTGGTCCAAAACACAGATTCAGACACTTTGCTCAGTCTCCACGATAACGACCATTTCAACTGTTTACCATTTTCTATTTTTAATCATGCATACGTACATACATACGCGTATATATATATATATATATATATATAATTGTTCATACGTATGAGTCTATGTTTCCGGTCTCTGCATACGTGTGTTTCCAGCCCAGACCGGCTCGTACGTCTCGAGCCAGCTCATTTTTTGTTCAGTCTGTTCGGCCCATTTTTTTACGAGTTAGAAAAACTCTAACCCAGACCAAATTATCCGAGTTCTGAGCCGGCTCGCGAATCAATCCATTTTTATCTAATTATCTGAAAATTTTTAAAATTACATGAAAAGTAATCATTTAAAATCTACATAACAATATTTTGAAATCATACAACATAACATAAAATATTTAACATAACAATCCATAAAACTATATCTAAATCAAGAAAATTAACAAGACCAAACCAACATAAAAAAGTGTAATACACCAACAACATCAAAATATAACAAAAAATATATATCAATATCAACATAAAAAGTGTCATACACCAACAACATCAAAATATAACAAAAAATATACACCAATATCAACATATCATGAATTTTAATTTGCTATATAAATAGAAGAAGTGAAGAAATTAAAGTATGAAATCCTAATATTTTTTTAATATCAGCTCGCGAGCCGACCGAGCTAGCCCGGATGGGCTCGGGCTCGTCGCGAGCGGTGATTCGTTCGACCCGTTTTTATTTGATCTTTTATTTTTTTCAGTACAGCTCGATAAAAAAACAAGCCAATCGCGAGCCTGGCTCATTTTGCCATCACTACCTGGAATATATATATATATATATATGGGACATGCATCATGTATGGGAAACAACCATATTGTATAATTCATGTATATTCTCTCTGATTATTTGATCATACCATATATGGCTGATTTAGTTCTTGAAAACTATGTTGTTATTTTTATTGTTTATATATATATAGGTTCCAATGCTTTGATGTCTCGCGTCAACTACACAAAAATCCATATATATCCAACCCCTAAAATAGATTAGTTTGCAAACAATTTAAATATCCTATCCCAAATTTTTTTCTATTTAATCCATATCATAGAATAATTCGGAAAATATACGAAATTTATTTATTCTATTGTTAATAAAATTTCGTATCCATTGATTTGCAAAATACTTGATCACTTTATAAGTTTTATTTGGTATTTTTGGACAAGTTGTGCATATTTTCAAGGTTATATGATAGTTTTCGTATTTCTAATTTAAGATGACTTAAATATAAAAAGTAAATTATATATATCTATAAATTAAATTTGGAAAAACCAAGTATCACAAACTTGTATTACTGATAAAACAAAATATCGATACTCAAACTTATGGTTATTAATTGTAAATCCAGCAAAGCATTAAGCGTGGGCTTAGTTTCAATTAAATATATAATTAATTGTACGGTTGTCAGCTTTCATAATACTAGCAGTTCCGAAGATACTTTCGTGTTATATAGTATTATTATTTATTCGTGTTTTAAATGGTTGAAAAAACTGATAAATATCATTTTATCAATTAGAAGAAAAAAAAAACGTTATCCGAAATTTCATTTAATAACTTCACATGGGAAATTAACTCACACTGCGTATATATTGGTGTGAAGCTACGCCGATGTTATAGTCATAATTAATTTTGAAGTAGATGCTTTTATTTTGTAAAATTTTAATGTTTGTAATCCTGTGATTAGTATTAATACTCATTCAATTCACTTCCTGCTTGGATACATACATACATACATACATATATACATACATAACATACATGCATACATATAGGACGAATGAAAAAATGCTCAAAATATACGGAGAATTAATCAAATACTATACTAGAATCATTCGAAATCGAGAGTTTTTTTATTATTATCTGGAAATTCATTGGATCTTTGATCCGACTACATTTCCTAAAAGATTAGAGAAGTTCATAATGTAAATGTCCATTCTCAGACTAGGACTCGAACCTATCAAATTAACTGATGTGGAATAACAGGGCTATTATCAATGTAGACATTAGTTGTTAGATTTTGAGCTTTAAAAATCTTTATCAACAAACTTGTTGGTTTATTTACATATTTTAGAAACTATATATATATTTTTAAAAATGGTTATGGTGTTGAGAATTATTTTTGAAAAAATCTCCCCCATCTTTGATATCTTTGTATATATATATATGATATTAATCATTGAAAACTCAAGACCTAACAATTCATAAAATCCATACCAAAAATTGGACCACTGAAATCTTTCCTATCAATTCACACCCACAATATATACACACACACACACTCAATAAAAATAAAAGTTTTTTTAAAAATTAAACGGTGTTTTCTAATAATTATTTTCATATAATGTAATAAAACAGGGGAGGAAATGTTTCCCTTGATATGTACCTCTGGTATTTGGGTTCGCTGTACAAATTTCTGGTGCGATGCCATTAAATTTCCGTTGGTCTTTCTTTAATTTCAATTTAAGTGTGACCGCACGTATTTAATTTTAAACCCCAAATTTTCAATTTCTAACACCTAATCCACATTTGTTGCCATTTAATTTCTTGGTTCCATATATGAACCCCTTTGGAAAAAAAAAGATAGGTTTTTTTGTTTGTTTTTAAAATTTATGGCACTAGCTTTTAAACCTCTCTCTTGTTATTTTCTTGTGCCATTTAAGTTTTTAACTCTCTCTCTCTCTATATATATACACATATATATATATATCCAAACAAAGCCATGAATTGGATCCCTGTGTCGTCTACATAAGCATAATTACCACAGTTTTTTTTGGGTGGTCTATGAAATTGTAGTTTGAAGTTGGAATTTAAAATCGATACTCTTGAGGCAAGACATGCAATTAGTATCCATTGTACCCAATACTTCAATTCAATCTTTTATGACTCTCTCTCTCTCTCCCTCTCTCATAATTAAATTAAGCCTTAATGAAATAACCATCTCTCTCTCTCTGTGTGTGTGGTTTCTTGTATATAATGGTCTTTGCTCAGGCAATCCAACCACCACGCAAGATCTTTGATCTGTTGCAAGTGGAAGAAGAAACAGAGCACTCCTCCGGAAACCCTCCTCCTGAATCCAAAGGTTCCTTCACTTCCAAGGTAAGTATGGTTCTCTCTCTCTCTCTCGGTCGGCCAATCTCGTCCACTGATTCGATCAAATTCACAAACAGGGTTCATCGAGGAAATATCAGAGATGAGCCGGAGGAACGGGAACGGGCCGAAACTGGAGCTGAAGCTAAACCTGTCGCCGCCAAGAGGGAGCAACCAGAGGAGGGTCAGATCGCCGAGCCGCTCGGCCACGACGTCGCCGACGTCACCACCGAGCTCATGCGTCTCGTCGGAGCTCATCAGCAACAACGACGAGTCCTCGGTCAGATACTCCACCAGCCCTGAAGCCTCTTCCATGGTCCTCGTAGGCTGCCCTCGTTGTCTCATGTACGTTATGCTCTCCGAGGATGATCCCAAGTGCCCTAAATGCAAGAGCACCGTTCTTCTCGATTTCCTCCACGAAAACGCCGCCGCCGCAGGAGGAAAAAACCTGAGAAAATGAGAGCCACGCGCCGCCGTGGCTTCGACGAGTAAATCAATCGTGAAGTATCCTCTGTAGTTTTGTTTTACCCTCTCTCTCTCTCTCTTGTTTTTTTTTTGTCTTTTTTTGGGGATTTAATGTAGCTGCCTGTCTGAGAGTAGTGCTAATCACGCTCCACTTTAAAAACAGAGCTAAAAAGCTCGGATATGAAACTAGGGTTCTAGTGATCATTTTCAGACCAGACAAAGGGTAAAAAAAAGAGAGTGGAGCGCGAATAGCACTAGCTTTTCTTGTGTTCTTTTAATATATTTTGTCTATCAATCGGAATCCAATGAGGAAGAAATCTGTGTTGTTTGTTCTCATTGATCATCTTCCCACTAATTTACCGCAAAAAGTTAGGGTTTTCCCCATTAAATCTTAATATGTACTGTGAAAGGACGAACCTTTGGCACGTGGGTTTGTAAATATTATGCTTTCACCAGAAGAAAAGATGGAAATCTTAATCTCAATACTCTGAAAGATCATGGGCATGGAAATACATATATATATACATATATATATATATATATACGCATTCTTAGAGATACAGAGTTCAAGAAATCAATCAGCTGTTGACTTGTGAGCTGATCCCCAGAAGAAGAAAAGGATCCGATGAGCGATGAATCTGAGACTGAGAAGAAATCATACTATATAGATTCCTTGTACTGTTGGAAAAGGCAGATTTAGAAGAACGATGACAAAGTTGTAAGATTAATCAGACAAACAGAACCAGCCATTGGCCCCACCCACCCCCAAAAAAACCCCATGTATTACGGGAGAAACCCTAGACCCCACTCTATATATATATATATAAAACCCTTTTAAGATATTTTTTTTATTATTTTTCTTTTGAACAAAAAAAGTTTCAAACTTTGCGAACAGATGAGGCTAAATTATCCTAAAACCGAATTTTCCTGCAAATAGAAGGAACAAAAAGAATGCAATCCAAGATTTATCCAAATCCATATGACCCTTTTTTTTTTCTTTTGGGTTGATGATGCATGCATGTTTCGTTAGACACAAGCAGACAATTCCACGAGAACTGCAAATGGAAAATATACAAAAAAAAAAAAAAAAAAAAAACTCATCAACTAAAGAAGCATGACATGACTACTTATCCACATAACCAACCTAGTTTCCATATTTCTAAAATGCACCGACCAGAGTATCTCGAATATCCGATCTGTGCTTCGGTCTTTGATACCCGCAAACGGGGAGAGAGCGAGAGATTAGCATATGGGCACGGGTTCCGCACCTCTGGCTTCAGTTTCCCGAGGCCTGTGACCGCCCGACAAGCTTTGATCTGTCGGCGTCGTTGTCTGAGGCGGGATGATGATGATTGATGATGATGATGATGATGATGATGATAAAGGGTTGAAAATTGAAGAGGGGAGAGCTGGGAGTAGTTCGGGGCATTTAAAAAAAAGGGAGAGGGTTGCTCCATATATTAGATTTAGGGATCATTAAAATCACATAAATGCAATAGTAATTGAGACGGTTGAGAATAATGAGCGTTACGTCAGATGATAAATACGAATTTAATTCCACCTCCACGCATATTCATAATAATAATAATAATAACAAAATATTTGTTTTCATCTACTTTCTACTCTCCTTTGTTAAAAAAAAAATATATTATACGACTCTCTCTCCTTTTCTCTTCCTCGGTTGAGAATTGTTACTTAGTGGACATTTAGATAGTCTAGAAAATGATAATGGTTTCGACTGAAGTTGCACCATGGGACAAAACTAATCTAATTATAATATTATATATTGACAAAATATAGTTCTTAATACACAACATAACTTGACACATATATATATATATATATGGTCATCTATTAACAAGTGTAGACGGTGCGACGGAACAGAACCTCCAAATTTGTGGAGTCCCTTATTAACTAAAAATATTAATAATATATAATAGGGGAAATCGCCATAAAAACCCTGTACTTTTCCCAGGTCAACGAAAAAACCCTGTACTTTTTTCCTTACCAAATAAACCCTGTACTCTATCCTGATAACCAATTAAACCCTGTACTTACAATTTATTAACTAAAAAACTCCCGCGCCGTGAACGTTGTGACGGCTGAAACGAAACTAGTGACATGGCATAAACGGAGTTGCTGATCCTAATCCACGTAGGATTTACTTGCCACGTCAGATAAAACAATGTCAGATAAAACAAAACAATTATAAGGTCGGAAAATAAACCATATTAAACCTAATCACAAAAAACTCCTCTATTTCCCCAATCACAAAAAAATCCGTTCGAACCCTAAGCCTTAGTTTCGTTCTTCATCAGTTTCGTTCTTCACCGAGTTCTTTCTAAATCGTGTGTATTTCGGAGGTGATTTGGAGACGATGCGAACTGGGTAATCGATTTGAAGTTTCTCTCGGTATTTCGAAGCCGATTTGAAGGTGAGTTTAAACCCTAAAGCTTCGGCGGAAGAAACCCTAAAGCTTGGAAGCCGATTGCTCTCTGTTTGAAGATAACCCATTTTCATCACTCATGTTCTTCGATTTTGGTGAAGCGATTTCTGACAGTGATACCATTTTGTTTTGATTGAAGATAACCTGGTGTCATTTCTTCTACAAATCGGCGGAAGAAAGGTTCGGGTAAACACTGTCATATTTTCCAGGTATTGTTTCGAAGTCGATTCGATGTAATGTTTGTGTTGCTCATTTTTTCAAAAAATTATGAAATGTTTAGGTTTTGCAAGGATGTCAAGGGATGATTCAGATGATGTGATAATAAACATACATTTGGGCGGATCAATAATGAAAGATGATGAAGGAGAGATAAAATATGTTGGTGGGTTTGTAGAAAAAATTGAGAGTGTGGTTAATGTTGATTATCTGAATTGGTTTATGTTTGAAAAGTTGGTGAAGAAAGAGAGATTGCCTCAAATAGAAGAGCTTTGGTTTAAAAGACCAAATGAGGGGATGGATTATTTGAGGCGAATATACAAAGAGATAGATTTAGGAATTATAGACATGATTAATATGGGGAAAAGAAGTGGAGAATTGGATGCATACATTGTGCATAAGGTGTATGACGGGCCTGTTCTAAGTGGACTATTGAGCAATACTGAACATGACAGTGATGATGATGGACAATGTGATGGGGAGAGATTAGACAATGATGAAGAGTTAGACAATGTTGAAGGATTAGGAGATGATGGTGGATTAGATAAAGAGGTTGGTTGTGATACTAATCCACATAATGCAGAGTTTGATGATGATGGATTAGGAGATGATGAAGGATTAGACAATGATGAAGGATTAGGCCATGATGAAGGATTAGGTGATGGTGTCGGTGGATTACATAATGCAGAATATGTCAGCGATGCAGAGTGTCGTGACAATGGAGATGAGTTTCCGAGTACCCCAAAAACGAGAGAAGAAAAATGGATGGAGTTCATGAGCCTATTCAATGACAAGGAACCACAAGATGTAGGATCAACAAGTTCGGGTAAACATAATCTTCATCTTGGTAAGTGTTTTAACACTGGTGAAGATTTCAAAGAAGAATTGTTTAAATATGCATTGGATAATAACTTCAATGTGAAGTACTTGAAGTGTGAAAGTAGAAGGTATTCAGTAGTCTGCACAGAGAAAGATTGTTCTTGGCGAATCTATTGTTCTCTACACACTGCGCAAAACAAGTGGATGATCAAGATATTCAATGATAACCACAACCACCCGAAGAGGAGTCATGTTGGGTTGTTAACTTCAACACGTATAGCGCAACTTTTCGCTGAAGATCTCCGAAGAAATCCCTCTCTTTCAGCCGAAGAAATACAAGATCAGGTTATGAAGCGACATCAGGTGATAGTGTCACGCGTTCAGTGTTTCAAAGCTCGTAGAATTGCTTTAGGGACATTGGTTGAAGATCAAGGTGCTCAATTTGCTAAGTTGATGGATTATGAAGCAGAACTTCTGAGATCTAACCCAGAAACTACCACTGAAATT